TTCGTTTGCCACGAAAAAAAATATGTTTGAAAACAAGATTAAAACTCGGATACAAACTTTTGGCCTCCTATTACATAACCCATTTATTCTAACGTGCTAATTTTATGGAAAGGAGGAAGCAACAAAAAAGAAGTTTAAGAGCATATATTACCTAGTAATTAAGGAATTGAAGAGAGAGATTCTAAAATTTCATTTTCAAATTGGTGGACTACACGTGACAGTGTGAAACCCTAAGAAAAGAAAGCTGCAATAATATTAGGAAGAAAAGAAAAAAGCTTTAGCTCTCTCTGTTCAGTATGCCATGAGCGACCAATCTTTTATTTTCTTTTGACTCTCAATCACACATACACTCTCTTTCTCTCATATATATATTTAGAAGTCGCTTTCGCTCAAAAGAGAACCTATTTCTCTCTCGTGCTTATCTTGCAAGCTTTTTGTATAATTATTTCCCTTATTCTTCCACGTTCAATTTAAATAAGAAAAACATACATCAGAAATATGAAATATCTGATCTATACACAAATTAAAGAATATTACAAAGATAACGTGTCAATCTACCACTTAAAAGTCGAGTTGTGACTATAACTCGTGAACAAAATAAACTCACCATACTTTTTGTATAACATCGAGTTTAAATCCAGACGATATGATATAAAAACAAAGTTAATAAAAATTATTACTCTCGCTGCTCTACAAAAATAAATTTTCTGAATTTTTCAGACATATTAAATAGAATAATTAATCTTCTATAATAAATGTATTAATTTCATAATAAACAGTTCTCAAAAAAGTTTAACCAATAGTTTCAATAATTTTTTTGAAATTTACAATCTATTAGTATAAATGATAAAAATGAATTGAAAACACTAAAACTCTAAATGGTGACCATTAGAAATGTAAAGAATGGGGAGGAACAAAAACATTCTTACTCATTCCTAATATTTTTTTACCATTTACATATAGTAAAGATTGCATGTCATTCATTTTCATTCCTAATAGTATTAGGGAATATAGAACAAAAATATTCATTATCTAATTTGACAAGAAACAAAAAAAATACATTTTTATGTAGGAACTTTCT